TTTATTTAATACAATTTATTTTATTATTATATATTTTTACTATTATTTGTTATGTTATTTATTTATTTTAGTTATTTATTTTATTATTTTTTATTTATTTATTTATTTTTATTATTTTATTTTATTTTATTTTTTTTAATTTTTTTGTCGACAAGGTGGGGGCTAAGTTTCTTTGGTTTAAGATTGGAACAGCCCGAATTCAAAACTTGTTACATGTTTAAATAGAGTTGATGCTGATACACTGATGGGTGTAACGTTCCTCAGCTGTTTAATATCAAGGAGGTACTGGAAGGCGAATAGTGTTAAGACATTGCCTCGCGATCGCCACAGACGCTCGTTATTGAGGGGGTTAGGGAAAGGGTGGGGCACTCAGGAATAAAATACGCAGAAATTTTTATATTCTTTTCATATATATCCACGAAATTTCTATGTTTAAATTGCACCTACTACTACAATCTTTACATGTTTATTTGTGAAAGCTTTATGTTCAGAGATTATGGTTAATTTGAATATTATGTCTCTGAACGTCAGAGGGTTAAACTCTCCTAGTAAACGGACTAAATTTTTAGATTATCTTCGCAGGAAAAACATAGACGTTGCACTTATCCAAGAAACCCATCTAAGGATAGCAGATGTCCAGCGATTACAAAACAAACACTATATTCCTATAGTATCTTCAGGTTATAACTCTAAAAAGAGAGGGGTGGCAATATTATTTAAAAGAAATCATACTTTCAGTATTGAAAATTTAGGATCAGACAATAATGGTAGAATGGCATATTGTTCTACTAATATAGGAGGAAAGAAGCTAATGTTTGTCAATATTTATGCCCCAAACTCTTATGATGCTCTTTTTTTCCCAGACATTACAAAAACTCTTTTAGCCTATAATGAATATTTACTTATTATTGGAGGAGACATGAACACGGTAATGGACACCGTTTTAGATCGATCAAATCCTTCAATCCCAATGATACAACCCCAGTCTTCAAAAGCATTAAATTGCTTTACTAAAGACCTAAACGTGAGTGACACCTGGAGGTTGCTCAACCCTAATGTAAAAGAATACACTTACTTCTCACCAAGACATAAATCCTATTCAAGAATAGACTACATCTTACTATCTCCTATGATATTTTCATGTGTAAAGAACATTGAATTTCTACCACAAAGTATTTCTGACCACAATGCAATAACAACATCGCTGCAATTTAGTACACTGACCAAACCCTCTAGATGGAGATTCAATACTCTTTTACTCAAAAACGAGGAATATATTTCACAACTGAGATCAGAATTAACTGAATTTATTAGCATTAATCAAAATTCTGTTTCCAACCAAGACATGTTTTGGGCCTCTATTAAAGGTTTTTTAAGAAATAATGCAATTAGTTTTTCTGCAAGGCTTAAAAAGAATTACCTCCAACAAATATCATCATTAGAAAAAAGGTGTGGAGAATTGGAGCGGGAATTAGAAAAGAAATTTGCAACAGAAACACAACAAAAATTAAAGGTAGAAAGAGCTACACTTAATGACCTGCTTAGACAAAGAACCGAATACTTGATGCACATCACAAAACATAAATACTACATAGATGGAAGCAAACCGAGCCGACTCCTTGCACTCACTTTAAAAAAACATGAGCAACGCTTTAATATAAATGCAATAAAAAACTCTGAACAGGTTCTCACCTCAAACCCCTCAGATATTAACAAAACATTTAAAAAGTTTTTTGAAAAATTATACTCTTCAGAAATACAAACTAACACGGATCATTTAGAAAATTTTTTTGAGTCTTTAAACTTAACAAAACTTTCTAAGGAAGATGCTGACAACCTAGATTCAGAAATAACTCTAGATGAATTACATAATGCAGTTAGGGATTTACATACAGGGAAATCTCCAGGTATTGACGGCATCCCTGGCGAATTATATCTAGTACTATGGGACTTACTGGGACACATTTGGCTACAAACAATAAACAAGGCCATAACCAAAGGCCATTTTCATAAAGATCTTAATACTGCTTTAATTACTGTTTTACCTAAACCCGAAAAAGATCTTTTTGAATGTTCCAACTATAGACCTATTTCTCTGATTAATGAAGATATAAAAATTTATGCTAAAGTTATCGCCAAGCGTCTACAATCAGTAATAAGTAAATTAATTCATCCAGACCAAGCTGGTTTTATAACAGGACGTTTAGCTTCAGATAATGTCCGCAGAGTACTACACGTTATAGCTGAATCAGGAAAGTTGAAAAAACCTAGTGGCCTCCTCCTTATAGATGCGGAAAAAGCCTTTGATCGCTTGGAATGGGGCTATTTATGGTACACACTGAAAAACTTTAATTTTGGCGATCAATTCATTAAGATGATTCAAACTCTATACTCTAACCCCTTGGCTAGAGTAACTACAGTGGGAATTATTTCAGATACTTTTTGTATTAAGAGGGGAACAAAACAGGGTTGCCCTCTCTCTCCTCTTTTGTTTAATCTATCAATAGAACCACTGGCTCAATTTATTAAACAATGTAAAAACATTACCCCAATTCAGTTAGGCTCATCTGTCCATTCTATCTCTTTATATGCTGATGACATACTTCTATTTCTATCAGATTTACAAAATTCACTACCCAATGCCCTCACAGCTTTAAATGAATTTGGAAGAATTTCTGGTTTCAAAATAAACTACTCTAAATCAGTTCTGATGCCCCTTAATCCAATTGGCCATAATGTTACTAATAATACTAATATAAAAATATCAACAAAAGTCAAATATTTAGGAATTGAGCTGAGCCCAACCTTACAACTCATACCTAAAATAAACTATATGTCAATTTACAGTAAGGTTGAGGCTGATATCCAGAGATGGATGCGCCTACCCTCATCACCACCCGCCAGAATTTCAACAATAAAAATGAATATCTTGCCCAGAATTAATTTCATAAGCTCCATGCTTCCCCTCCCTCCACCTCCAAACTATTGGAAAAAGTTAGACTCGATTTTAAACAAATTTGTTTGGAATGGAAAACGTCCCCGTGTAAAATGGTCCACTCTCCAAAAAAACAAAACAGAGGGTGGATGGGCCTGCCCTAACTTCAAATTATACCACTGGTCATTTATTCTGCTCTCAGTTGTGAAATGGTTCGAACCTGATATGCAATGTTCTTGGAAAGAAATAGAAAAAGACCTTATTTTTCCAACACGTCAGCAAGACTTTCTGTTCTCAGGCTTTAACCATAGGAAATGTATATTGCGCTATGGACCTATTTTATCCTATACCCTCCAAATTTTTAAAAAGGTAGAAACTTATTTTCCTTCCAGAACCACCTGGCATAATCATTCTCCTCTGTGGCACAATGTGAACCTACTTTCTGGTAGACAACCTTTTAATCAACCATCATGGGCCAATAAAGGTATTCTAACACTAAAAGACATAAATGGAGAAAAATCTATTTTAGATTTTCAAGAGCTGGTTAACAAATTTAATATATCTCCCAACACTCTTTTTATATATTTTAAAATAAGGGCAGCACTAAAGGCTCATAAGACACCATGGGGTAAGGATCTTCATACCCACCCGATTGTGAAATGGATATATAATGCTCCAAGAAAAGGAACTGTTTCCTATCTCTACTGCTGTCTTTCTAATATTAATGCACATAGTTTCTCAAAAGAAAGACTATGGCTATCTGATATGTCTCGACCCAATACAACTATCGATTGGGAAACTGTATGGCATAATACATTCCACGCTTCCACAAACCCTAATCACCAGTTTATTCATTTTAAAACTATCCACAGGGCATATTTAACCACACGTATACGACATATCATAGGTTTATCTCCAGATCCATATTGTAAGTTCTGTGAACCACAGCGTCCAGATACCTTTTTACATATGATGTGGGAATGTCCGGAGGTACAAAAACTTTGGGATTCGGTACTGGACATTTTATTTAAAGTTACAAAAATTTGTTTCCCCAAAGACCCTATACTGTTACTATTGAATGATAACTCTCAATTTCCCTTAAATGCAAAGGTCCGTAAATTTTGGTTAGCTGCTTCAACTGCTACAAAGAAAATGTTGGTACAAAGGTGGAAACTTCCTCATGATCTCTCAGTTAAGCACTGGTTACATTCATTATTGGAAATACTATATCTGGAACTGTCATCAGCACGGATCAACCATGCCAAAGTGGACATTCTTACAGGCATGGAAAATCTACATATGCAACGTCAAAGAAATCTTGGACACTTAACCCTCATCTGATGCTACGGATGACAACTTAATGGAAATTATCTAACAGCTTGGTCTAAACTATAGTTATTCTGTGTTTCCTGATGTGCGTATAATGGGGTGGGGGGGGTGGGAAATATATATGGGGTTATATCTGTTTAAAGTATTTTGTTATCTGATTGTAAAAATTGTATATTCTCACTATCGGAAATAAAAAACTGAATTACAAAAAAAAAAGAAAAATATCTAGTAAAATAGGATGTACTGTCATCATGGCAAACATAAAATAAATCAGTGGTAAGAAATGAGTTATTAAAACCATTATGTTTAGAAATGTGTTGAAAAAAATCAGTTAAACAGAAATTGAGAAAAACATAAACAGGAGGGCCAATATTTGGGTTGGGGGGGGATGTTGGGTTGGCGTGCGATGTGCTAAAAATTCAGACTTTAACTGTATATATAATGAATAGTAACTATCCAAACACACAACGAATAATGAATATAATTAGCATATACCAACATAACACTAAAGATCATATTTAATTAACTGTTGGTTTGTGTTCTGTCCAATTCATTCAGTGTTAAATAAATATTGTTCTTCTTTCAGTGAATGACTAGTATACTAAGACAAAGAGAGTTTGAGAGACAGATTTAGTTTTCTTAGTAGTTCCTCTCTTGTTACATAACCACTCCTTCCTTCGTCTGTCTGATCCTCTGTAAATTCTACTCCCCCCGCCCTTAAGGGTGGACTTGGTATTATCCACTTGCCCCAGACCTGCGGTTGAGCGGAGAGACACGGCCAGTGGCAGCGCAGCAGAGGAACTGTACAACTGAATAGTCTGAGAGAGAGAGACAGGGAGAAATAGGGAGAGAGGGATAGAAAGAGATTAGCTGTGTCCAGTCTTGTTCAGGGACGTCAAACCAAATGAAGCTGCTGGTCCAGCACTGATTCTTACGGGTGTTTATCTCTGTCACTGGAGTCATGAGCTCAAAGGGGACGAACCTCCACAACAAACGACTGCCATGTGAGTACTTTTTTAACTGAATTATTTTGCTCATAAAGATACGATTCATTATAAACTCAGACCCTAAAAACAAGCATGACATTAATCAACAAAAGAATTGTTGTGCTGTTAAAGAACATGTGTAAGAGAGAGAGAGAGAGCCTGGGGGCTTAGCTTTTACTATCGCCTCATTCACAGACAATAAAAAATGATTAGATACAAACCATGAGAGTATCCATGTATATTTCTAGAAAATGTAACTTTCAGACTGCTTTTTTAATAGCAAAACAGCTACAAATACAAAATAGTTTATGAAAAAGTCGATGTAAAACATAATGCTTATACTAAATGCTGTACTTGAGGATAAAATTACAACATAAAACAATTGTGACAACTTAAACTGACCTTAGTAATGAAAAATATCCTTTTCCTGCGAACTTCCATCATATAGTTTACCTTTGCATAAAATGATGACAGTGTTTTTGTTTGTTCATTTGCTGATATTTCTGTAATACTCCATAAGTATACTTAATTATGCTTGATAAGTCTACTTAAATTTCAAACATATGAATTCAAGGTTTGTACAAGTACAAAAAGTACTTAAAAACAGACATAGGTTAATTATTTCAACAATAGTGCAAGGGCTGCACACTATATAGTTTTAGCATTGATATTGCAATGTACGCATCCTCAATATTCACATCACAAGATAAGCAATGTTGAGTCTGAATTATAGTTGAACAGGAGCCACAGAATTGTATTTAATAACTGTATTTATACGGTACATATACCACTTATGAAAAAAAAAAGCTTTTCTTTCTTATTTTGTCGTTTGTCTTCTTATTTTTGTTTTGTTTTTCTTATGTACATCTTTTGTATAGCTGCTTTGAAACAATAATTATTGTGAAAATGCCATATTTAAGTTCAAATGAACTTGAACTGAAAATTAATTGAATAGTCCATAGGTCTGTCACGATATCTATTGTTTGTTGTACGATATATTGCACTAAAATATTTTGCGATAAACTATATTATTGCCATTTTAAGACCATTTTATGCCACTCATTATGCAGTATAACGCCAGAATGACAATATCTTCACAAGTACACAAACACAGTATTTTATTCTTAAGAATATTTAACTTATTTATTTAACTATTTAATATTTAGGCGTTGGAATCAGAATGTGAAACGTATATCATAAACAAATAAATAATAATGTTAACCAAAAAAGTGCAAGGTAAAAATGAACAGAGGCTGCAATATCTGCTACCAGATCTATTTTCAATTGTCTGACACCCACATGAAAATATACTAAAGTAATTTATAGTAAATACTATAGTGTATTTAACCCTATTGACACTGACACCTCAAATAGAGATAGAGAGGTAGCACAATCAGCTAAAATGTTGCTAATTGTTTTTTATGTATATTGCTTCACCAAGTATAATTGAGGTCACGGCCATGTATCCATATATTGATTATTATGACAGGCCTAATAGTCCGAATATCTACAATCTTCAAAGCAAAAGATTGTTTTACTTATCCCACTGGCAGGTAATTTTGCTTATTAAGGAAAAACTCGTATTTTTGACTCAATTCTTCTCAGGTGGAAAACAGCAATATTTTTACTTGATCTAAGACATTTTAGATATTTGGACTAGACACGAGAGATTTTATTTACAGCATTTTGATTTTTCAATTTCTGTACCTAAATACTGTTAGACCTTCCAGAAAACCATCAAATAGTGCTATTCCAACTATCTAGTGAAACTGTATTCATATCGCAATATGTATTGCAGAAAAATTAAATATCGCAATATCTGATTTTTCCAACATCGTCGCCCTAAATTGTACTGTGCTGCTGTCAAAATCAGAATGAAAAAAGAAATGAAACTAATTTCTTTGAACATAACTGTTTTAAACAAATGACACATTCAGAACATCATCATTACTGCTATTTTTATGTAAATATTAAGTGTTAGTGAATGTTAAGTACAGTAAGGAACATGGTGCCACATATGCTGATGGGGTGAATTACGAAGGTGCTTGATTTTAAATTAATTGTGCTTTAAAAAGTCTTTGGATCATCTGTTTATGAAAGAGTGGGAATCCCATATATATGAAGAGTGGAGAAGTCTACTAAAATGAGCATTTATCTCTGCCTCCTATGCTAATGTTCAGTTATTTCACTTTAAAGGGCACCTATGATGAAAATCGTCTTTTTAAAGCTGTTTGGACAGAACTGAGGGTAGGTATAGCAGTGTTTCCTCTAGGATTTTTTCCAGCTGTGGCGGCAGACCTTTTTTTACACAGATCTACCAACTATCTGGGGCGTTATTTCCATGTCGTGAGCGCACTATTAGAAGGCAATAACGCATTTATGTAATAGCCTACAACAAGCAGATCTCTTTGCTTGCGCGCCGATTTCCTCTGCTCGTGCACAAAACTTATTGCACGCCCCCTCAAATATAAGCCACTTCAAAAGCATGCAGATCTTCTTGTGCGCTCTCAAATAAACACTGCTGAAGTGCGATTTAGTGCGTTTATGTAACAAGTATGTCTCCAGCATTTATTAGATTTGACAGGAATATTTATGAATGTCTATAATAGACCTACAGAGCGATATTAATGCGTCCTGAAGTAAAGTGAAACGGCTATACATCGTGTTTGCTGGCCTCACGCATTACGCACCTGTAAGTCAGTCAGTCAGTCAGTCAGCACGTAACCCTAAAGGGTTAAACAAATGAAACACAGCACTACTACAGTTACAGAAAAGTTTGCCCTGTTATAATTCACTTACCGTTTAATACGTTTTGGTGCGATTATTACCGGCTATTAAAAAAATAAAATGTTTTGAATGAGAAGCTGTAATGTAGCCGTGGTGGGATGAATTTTGGCATGGCGCCTCGCCATGGAAGAATGAATGTAGCTGAAACCATGGGTATAATGTGTCCACAGTCATATTGAGGTAAAAGAAACACAGTAAGTCTTTATTCTAAAATTTCCTGATGTTAAAATAGGATCCAAGTCTCTCCTATTTTGAGGCCCATCGGTTTCCCCGCCCACCGAATTGAATGACAGCCGAGTATTAAGATGCCTCTGTAGTAACACGTATAATCATATCAACAAGACAGGACGCGCACAAAGCAACCTAGATGAAAAGATCTGTGCAGCACTCAGTGATCATCAAATGTGATCAAGAATGAGTTTTACAAGTTTAAAACTTTTTTAAAACACATTTGTAATAAATTACAGCAATTTTACTATTTTTATCACCACAGCTCCAAGTCAGCCCACTTTTAAAAGAAGATGCTTCAATCCCGGTTTGTGTACGATAAATCAGGTTTATTTTGTACACTGACAGAAAGGATATTCATACAGCAGTGGATATTAATGTTTATCCTGTCACATTTGCATGCAAAAACTGTGTGTAAGTAAAGTTTGTAAAGACATCGTTGTGAATCCTCATTGCAGAAAGACTTGACACAACAAATACATCAAATAATCATTGGGAAAGTTTTTATTGTAGTATGTCTCAAAAGCGTTACGTGAGATCTGCTTCCTTCATGTCTGTCACTGTGCTGTTTGTCTGACGCAGCCAAGGAGGAGATTAAGGCACACTCTGATAGGCACATGTGAACGCTGGGCTGGAAGAACTAGCATACACTGCTACACTGCGTTCAAAGCAGAAAATTCCAATATTCCGAAAGGTAAAATAAATATACTGATGGGTGTTTTGAGATAGAACTTAACAGACACATTCTGGAGTCACAAAATACTTCTCTTACATATTTAAAAAGGGGTAAAATAGGTGCACTTTAAAGGCAATGAAAATAACATATTCATCAGCATAAATGTAAAATCATAAAAACACGAGGCTGAGAAAACTCACTTTAGAAGAGAAATTCAGACAGCTCTTGAGGATTTTGCATATGAACTAAATAGAAAAGGGAACAACTATAACCCTAATTTCATCAACAGTATGTTAATTTTTTTGAGTAAATCCATCACATATATTATTTTTGTGGCGCGTCTACATTTTAAAAGTGCCTTCCTTATTTGGACACACTACTTCCATGGCAGAATAGGGAAAGATTTTCTAAAAATGTCTGAGCCGTGGCTCAGTTTTATCTCAGTTTGTCATAAAGTGCTGGACGTTTATTTATAACCTCAATGTGAAAAGGTTTTTTCTGTTATGTGAATTTTTTCATTTCTCCAGTCATTGTTTGAATCAAACATTTAAAGGGCATTTAAACATTTAAGAGTGGATCCTGACATATGGCTTAAAGAGCAAAGAAATGCTTAATTCTAGATTTGTTGTGTGTATAACCTGACTGAAATCTCTCTAAATGGGATTGTTTTCTGCCATTTTTTGGCAGATGGACTCTGGGTGCAATCCAAGTTCTCACACTTATTAGTTCAACACACACATGCGCACGCTTGGAGGTTGTGACTGGAAATTAAGTTGGCCACGGGAGAATTCGTCACACTATTCTTCAATTTTCCTCAAATTATGTGTAAAATGCCTGCGTCTGTCAAAGGGATTTGCACCCCAGTTGTTTGGTGCTGTCATGTAGGTTCAGTAGAGTGACTTTTTCTATACTCCAGCAGACTCAAGTTTATGGTAAAGTTTCTGCTTTGCGTTAAGATAAAATTAGATTTGTGTAACAAAATTGAATAAATTTTATTGTTTTAGCGTCGATATCACAGTGTGATCATTCATAGTAGTCACATCGCAAGTATATGTTGATTCTGGATTATAATTAATCATTTCGCAAGTGTTTTTTTGAGGACTGTAGCTGTGTGAGGATTTTAAAAGCATTCAGGCATAAGATACTGTACCATTTGTATCTTTGACAAATGAACAATGATTAATTTAATTGAATTGTTTATAAAACGAAGACTATACAGTATTATTTTACATTTGATTATTTAATTACTGTATTTTTTAATACAGTTTGACCTCTTAGAAAAAATAAATCACTGTATATTTTAGGGATGTCCTGATCAGGTTTTTGT